TGATGGGTGAGGGTGAGAAGGTGCAGTGCAGACGTGGCTCACTTTTCTATAGTGCAGGATATCTTTGGGTAAATACTATGACAAGTCACTTCCTGACCTGCAGCTCAAGAGAAGTGCACCATGACAGTGATGGGACCTGTGGGAATGGCATGGAGCTGTGTCAGGTCAGGATCATGTTGCGTGTCAGGAAAAGGCAGCAGGCATGGAACAGGCTGCTGAGGGCAGTGGGCACAAGCCCTGAGCTGCTGGAATTCAAGAAGCGTTTGGACAACACTCTCAGACATAGGATTTGAATGTTGGATGGTTGGGTATGGAACCAGGAGTTGGACTTTATGGGTGATGTTTATGGGTCCTTTCCAACTTGAGGTTTTCTGTGATTCTGTACAATTATGCAAATGTTCAAGCACAATCACTGTTCAGGTCTCATGCTCCAGTCAGACAGAGGTCTTACAGTAACGCAGAATGATTACAGGGTCAGCCAAGTTACTTTTCATTGCTCTAATGGGCACTGACATTCGAACAAAACTGTGAACAGGTCCAGCGTGGACATCCACGCTTGATTCTCATTCCCTCTTTAAATTTAGGTAAGTTTCATTTGCCTGGAATATATATTGCCTATTAAAGCCCTCAAAGTCTGAGGTTCTGTGCTTTCAACTAAAAAGCCATGCCAAGATCCCTACAAACCCATTCTTCTAACATTTACTCATACAAACAGATGATAAGACCTGGAAAAAATACAAGAAATAAGAGTGATGCTATCCAGACTTTTCACTCTGCTCCTGCTGTCCTGCACCAACCTCACAGTGCAGAAACCTTCCAGTGTCTCTCCTTGGGTGGCAGTGAGGCCATTGGCAGTGGGAAAGAGGGAGAATCCCAAATGGGGCAACATGAGAGATGAGTCCGCCTTGGTTGGAGTGGGGATAGAGTAAACCCAGAGGCTGAGACTCTCAAATTGATTTGGAGCCCAACACCTATTTAGAAATTCCTGCAGTTTGTGATCCAAAGCAGTCACAAAAGAGATCTTCTGAAAGCTCCCGCCAAGAGCTCTTTGCAAGGACATGGGAAGCCTACAGAAAGACATGGGGAGACAAACAGCTCTTTCTCCATGTGCTTTGTCCCTTGACAGTGGGTCATCCCTTACTGTTCCTTGTCCAGTCATCCAAGAAAATGATGCACTATTAAAGCACAAGGGGGAAAATGCAAATAGTTAAACATCTCAGAAAACCATTTCCAGCACAAGAAAGCATGAAGCTGGAATATGAAAGGGAACTTTGCACATGAAGATCTAACAACATGAATCCTCTCAGCATTATAGAGAAGTGAAGATCAAAAAGGATAATGGATTTGAAATAAGACTTAAAAGACCACATTGGCCTGGAGCTGCAGGGACCGTTGGGGCCATATGTTAAGCAGAAACAGGATGTTTTTGGTGTGTCTACAGCAAGCTCAAAGGAAAATGCCCTCCTTTCAGCATGTCTGTCTGTCGACACCCCCAAGTACATCCACACCCACTGGAAAGCTGTGGGTAGGGAGCACGCTGGGGAGTAATGCTGAACTCCTTCTTCTAAGGCCAGAATATGAAATCTGCCTAAAGGAAAAACATGGACATGTCTCGAGCTCCTGGTGCAGGCAGCATCTACCTACATCAATACCAGGGTGGCTTTCAAGGAACCACAGTGAGAAGGAACACATTGCTGGGGTTGGGAAGCCCACCCTCAGCCTTCAGTGACAGCCCACCATGCAACACAGCAGGTGGTTCTACTAATTTTTTTTTATCTTACTTCTCATGGAAAGTAAGAAGCTATTTTTACACCCCAGTAACAGCCTTTGGACTGTCAGGAAAATGTGGGAGGTTTTGTAGTAGCTGTTTTGCCTGACGTTTTCTCAGAGATGGCTGGAAATAGTATGTAATTAGAGAGGCTGTGTTGGAAAGACCTGCAAATATCTACAGATCTATGGAGAGTGCAAGTATCTATACTCCATGTAGAGTGCAAATGTTTTTTTTTTTTCATTATTGAGCCCAGCGAAGGTGAAACTAAATGTGGTTTATAGAAATGTAAGATGATCTTACAGGCATCAAAGTATAGACCTGCAGAAGAGCCAAGTTCATTTGATTTCCTCTCTCTTCTATCATTCTCTGTAGAAAAGACTTCTGGGCTATTTGGATACAGAAGTGCACCTTTAATGGTGTGTCCCTGGAAAAGAATGTCAACAGAAACCTACCTTATTTTGCTGAATTCACATTAAGACAGTTTGCAACCAGGACTAATTTCATAGACTCACAGAATCATAAAATGGCTTGGGTTGGAAGGACTAATTTCCCTGGACTAATTTTCCCCTTGGCTTCTGGCACACCTAGAGATGCTGGGGTCTGCAGGGAACAGATCTGTGCCTGAGGAACACCCACGGCTGCAATTCCAGAGCTCAGCTGGATTATCCACATTCAGGCAGCTTTTACCCCCTCAAAAATAGTGTGTTTCTAATTGACAGGAAAACCTTGCAGGAAACTGAACAATCTGCTCTAATCATGAAGGTAAGTCTACACATTCAGTTGACCACTAGACCTGCTATAAACTCAAGTGACTGCAAAGGATCCTGCTCCAGCCTATCAGTTAAATAAATATGTAGCGAAAGCGTTTTCTGAAAGTCTGATTATGTCATCAGCAGAGTGAAAAGGCTTCTTCAGAGCTGCCCTCATCTGTTGAGTAATTACTGAGTTGGGACAGGGGCCAAAAGGCTCCTTTTGAACACACAGAAAGACTAGATGCACATGTAGAGCTGCTAAATATAAACCTGTGGCATATCCTCCATTTCCCCTCCTCTCCCCCTTGCAGAATACCAAGGGGGTTACATCACATCCCAGAGCAAGCCGTTGTGATGGTTTCTTCCCCCCTGTATTCCTTTATCAGACACATTTCTTTCTTGTGCTCCCAGGCAGAGATCTGCTGTAGCCTGGAGCAAATACTGTATAGTCAAGTTGAATTAAACAAATCTCTCTCTTCCAAATGAGGTTGTATAGTTCCTGGTTCCTTATAGAGGCAGTGTGTTATTTAGTTTACAGGAAGGCAAAGAAATAGTCAAGAGATGGTAATGATGATGGGGCTGTTTGGACTGGAAGAGAGAAGGCTCTGGGGAGACCTAAGAGCAGCCTTTCAGTATCTAAGGTGGGCTATAAGAATGAAGGGGGCAGACTCTTTAGCAGAATCTTTTGTGATAGGACAAGGAGAAATTATTCCAAACTAGAAGAGGGGAGATTTGGACTGGATATACTAAAAAAAGTTACTGTAAATAAGGACAGTGAAGAGCTAGAGCAGGTTGCTCAGAAAGGTGGTGGATGCTTCATCCCTGGAGACACACAAGGTCAGGCTGGACAGATTCTGAGGAACCTGATGTAATTGTAGGTGTTCATTGCAAGAGAGTCGGACTAGATGACCTCTGGGAGTCCCTTCCAACTCAAATGATTCCATGAACCTGGGAGAGAGGGAAAGTGAAGGCTGAACACCAAGAAAACAGATACATGGGATCTGAGAAAATGTCACTTTGCAAAATAAATAGTATCTAACAAGGTTGAAAGAAATGTTATTATTTTTATGATGCCACTCTAAAAATGCTGTCCTGAAAAAGCAATCAGGCTGAGAATATGAGTTTTGCAGCTGTGTTTTCCCGGCTCTTCACTTCCCTGTCAATGAGCTGATGAACATCCTCATTCTGTAGTTGTCATGCACCCCTTGCTTTGTATCCTCCAGTCCTCAAAGATCAAACCATGGTTGGGGAAAAGTTGGGACCCACCTACTGCAAACCAAATAGCAGTGAATACCCTTGTTCCTTATTGACCCATGGAGCTGAATCAGAGAAACCATAGTGGTTTTTAGGAAAGGGTGGCTCCTCAGCTCTGCTACATGAGAAATCACCATCTGATGTTTTAGAGGCTTACTGTTTGCATGCCCCCTGTGATTTCAACACAATGTGGGGTTTTCCTAAACTTCTAAACACTGTTTCCATGTAGGCGCTCCCCAATTGACTCCCATCTGCTCCCTGCAAATCCTGCTGCATTTTCCTGCACATTCCTATGAAGGGAGAGTGAAATGAGTAAAAAATAAACATGCAGCTGTCTCTGAGGTTGTTGGTTTGCATTGTGGCTTTGGTAAAAATACTCCTGCCTTAGTTTCCCCACCTGGTCATTAAACCCATAGGCAGGAGAAGGGGCATAGAAGAAGGAGAATTTAGGTGGAAAAAGGGTAGTAATTTAATCACCCGTATTTTGTGATGATTTACTTGCAGTGCAAAACCTGTGTGTTGATAAACTGTTTTCAGCCTCATCTGATCAGTTCACTACTTCATAGATGTCAGCAGCACTGAAGTGTTCACCCAGGCAAGCTGCTCTGGGCTCCTACATGGGAGCAGGCATGGAGCTGGTCTCTTCTCATCTCCTATATGAGGTAGGGATGGCGGATGTGGCTCTTCACATCCATAGACTTTGGTGTCCAGCTCAGACAGAGAGAACTGAGAGACATTCTGTAATTCTTGTTCATATGAGACCCCTCCTTACTAATGCAAACTCAATAGTGGTTAAAAATATGCCCATCCTAGCTGATTTTAAATGGATATTGTTTAATCCATGCAACCTTCCCAGATATCATCTTATTGGATAAGTTGGGTGCTTTGCAGAGGGTTGCCTAAGTCTCATATAAAGAACTCACAAAAATGAGTTAAAAATGCTCCAAAAGAGACAGTTGGGTGGAAAAAAGACCAGAATATATCATGCAATGGTTAGTCAACAAGCAAAAGAAAAGGAGGAAATGTTGCATGTGGTGAAACGTTCTTCTCAGCTGTTATTTGGGAGTGGTTGAAAGAGTTAAGCCCAATACTGGAATGTCTTGGGAATGTTGGCAGAGGGAGAGCAAGCAGTTTTTTTCCTCCCTCTGGATGGAGTCCCAGGACTGAGCTTTCAAAGTGATGACTTTGGATTCGAGTTTGCTTCTTGGTTCTGCAGCAGAAAGCTGGGATGTGATGCCGTGGAACCAAGAAGCCCTCTGCAAGGGAAATGCAACTGCCTTCCAAAGTCAGGAGAGGTGTTTTTATCTTCTCCCTGCTCGCCCCTGGTGCAGCAGAATTCGCTGTGAGAAGATACACACACGGAGAAACCACATCCTGAAGGGTGTGCACGAAGAGAGAAAGGCACATCCCTAAACAATTTATTTTGACTGCCGGTTTTTGTCGTTGGATTTGGTTTAGTGGTTTTGTTTTGGAACTTTTTTTAGTGTTGGCCTTTTTTTTCTCTCTCTTTTTTTCTTTTTTTTCTTTTTCTTATTTTTCTTTGGTGGAAATCGCAGTGACTCTTTAACCTTGCAGTTGATAAGGCATTAGCCGATCGCCTCCAAACAGGGAGCCCGGCATTTATTGCAGGGAGCTGGCATGGCTGCCGTGCTCTTTGGCTTTGAGGATCTGCTCTACAGCTGGGACAGCCTGGTGTGGAGCCTGACATCCCGGGCTCTGAGGACTTGCCGCTTCGGAAATCTGAGGGTCCTGCAGCTCATGCTGAAGCCATGGTGCATTTCCAGAGCCATTTATCAGGTAGGGTTTTAAAACACCAGGCCAGACCTTCAAACCTGAGTGCTGCAGAGGGGAACCTCCTGGGGAGCTGCACAGGGTCCCATCCTGCTCCCAGCACTGCAGGTAGTGGGGCAGAGGAGATGCATGTGGGTAAGACCCAAGAGGGGAAATGTAGGGTTGGAGAATGATGGTGGGGTTTCCTGAAGTGGAGTGGAAAATGTGAATTAAGGGTCACTCTGCTTATCTTCCAAACTTGTGAAGCTTTATGTTTTTATGTACGGCCATCCTTAGCTGTGCTGCATCTTTGAGCTGCCTCTGTGATGGCAAGAAAGTAATTTATAACCTGTTTGAAGGAAAGGACACCTAGAGACATGTAGTCTGCTGGTGGAAAACGGGCAAACACAATCGGTTCTAAATGCAGAGGCACTGGTTATCCCTATGTGACTTAGGCAATGCCTTCAGTCAGCAAAGTCTGAGACGTTTGATTGCCTAAACTTTTTGTTTTACCCAGTAAATGTGTTACGTGGCACAGGCTGCCTTCCCCACTGCTGCTCTGAACGATGGACATGGAGGTCTGGGGTTTGTTCAGCTGGCTGCTCTGTAGAACCAAAAAGCTGTAATAAACTGTGCTTGTTTCTGTGACTGGCTAAACTGGGTTAAATCCTTTGAGTAATCATCACAGAGAAAGTGTTAGAACTGGATGCCTAGCTGAATAGCAACTCTTATTTCAGTCCCTAGGTGAGCCCAGGTTGAAATTTCGCTCTAAGCCAACCAGTGTTCAGCTCATCTGCTTTTCTAATCAGCCTCAGACAACTGGGGCTAGACGTGTATTCTGCTTCAGGGACAAACCCATTACAATATTTATCAGCTTCACTGGTTTGGCTAATGCAGGATGTTGGATTGACTGATCAGTGTTTGCGTTTGGAAAAGGCATTTTCTGCTACTCCCATTTGCTTGATATTTTGCTTTTCCTGTGCTTTGGAAGTCTCCATGTGTAAAGCCAAGTTACACAGAAAAGGACAGATTAAAAGCCTGGAGAAACTGTGTGTGTTGCATAGAGGGAGAGCAGAGGATGGCTCATAGCAATTTCAGCAAACTTTGAACCAGCTTCAGAACACACTTTGGTTACTGCAGACTTCAAGAATAGATTTTATGGCCATCTTTGGAGTTCAGCAGGCATGGGCAGTGTGTTTATTTTAGGTATTAATTTGTCCCAGAAGATGTCTGCTGCTAACAGCGTTAAGTCTTTACCCAGATGTGCTTTCTGTGCCAGTGGTCACCCTGGTGGCCCTGAGCACAACTTGAAACTGACATGGGATGTATCAAATGATGGCTTCACAAGAACTGGCATGAGCACAGGAAAGGGGAAGGAAGAGAGCTCAGTGCTGAATCCCCTTTTATTTCTATCCATGTAAAATCATGCTCAAAAAACTAAGGAGTAGCCACAAGATTCATCCAAACTCAGGCTATGAACCACCTATCCCACCCTGAACACAGGCATTTGGAGATGCTGCTGCCCACAGAAGTGTGATAACTATCCTGGGATAAGATCTGTTACTTGATGGGGTCAATGAGCAACAAGGAACAACATCCTCAAGTTGTCAGGGGAGGTTCATGTTGGGTATTAGGACAAAATTCTCCTCCAAAAGAGCAGTCAAGTATTGGAACAGGCTGCCCAGGGAGGTGGAGAGCTCACTGTCCCTAAAGATGTTCAAGAAAGAGCACATATCACACAGAATCACACAGAATCACCCGGGTTGGAAGGGACCTCAAGGATCATGTAGTTCCAACCCCCCTGCCTAGCAGGGCCACCAAACACACACATTCAGATCAGGTTGCCCAGGACCCCGTCCAACCTGGCCTTAAACACATCCAAGGACGGGGCATCCACAACCTCCCTGGGCAGCCCGTTCCAGGGCCTAACCACTCTCCTTGTATAGAACTTCCCCCTAACATCCAACCTAAATCTTCCCTCCTTCAATATATGACACTGAGGGCCATGGTTAGTGTGCATGGTGGAGGTAAGTTGATGGTTGGACTGGATGATCCTAGTGGTCTTTCCAGCCTCAATGGTTCTATGAATTTCTGATTCTATGATTCCGTGTTTCTATGATTCTATGAGTGCACTCTTTCCATTACAAAGTGCACATGCCTTCAACTGTCCCCCATGTCATTACGTCACGTTCATGGCATGTTAACCCCCTTCCCCAGAGCCACCAGGAGGACAGGACTTGCAAATGTGCTTCCGCTCACACATATAGGAGCATCAATGCAGGCTGACACTCCACTCCGAAATGGTGGGTCTGGTAGAAGGAGAGCACTGGTGGATGGAGGTTTGCATGTGAACAGCATCTCACAGCTCATCTCCACGGAAAGCCAGAAGTAATAGGATGAGCTGATAGCAAATGTTTTTATATTAATCCTAATATATCCTCTAGTAGCCAGCATCCTCCAGTTTAAATGCTGACAGTATTTTAATTGAATACTGCCTGGACAGAGCATGACAGTTTAATAACTTCCTACCCGGAGACAGAAAGTTCTTACAATGTTTATTGTTTAGATGAGCAAATAATCTCTTGACTGTGCTATTCCTGTCGCTGTGATGTTTTAATCCCTGCCGCTACTGCATCTTGAGAGCAGAACATAGATTTGCTGTAGGACCTCTTCCAGAAAAGTGATTGCATATGCAAAAAAAAAAAAAAAAAAAAAAAAAAAGTGTGTCGCCATCTTTCCTGCTTTTTAATTACCTCACAGTGCTTCTCTGCCTCTAGAGTCACTTCCTTAGGATGGTTTTTTTGGATTGGAAAGCACCTTAAAGATTGGGAATGGCAACAGGAAAAAGTGTGTGACTTCATGTGGATCTGAGCATTGGGACCAGCATGGGTCTGCAGTGCTGGGGGCTGAGCAGGACGTGGGGCAGCATCTGGCTCCTGATGGCTTCCTCAGTGTCTTTCTTTACTGACAGAGATCTGCAGATATTTGTGTCAGAGACCATCTACGCATAGCTTGTATCTCCTGCACTTTCACAAGACCTGGATTTACTACATGGGCTCTCTAGAATAATTCTGTGCAGATCACAAAAGGAGTGGGATTTCCCACCCTAAATGATGTTAGAAAACTCAGGTGCTCAAGTTCACCCTAACAAAACGTCTATCATTCCCAAAGAGAAAAAACCCAAATGTCTCATAGTCACTGCCCATCCCATGCTTAGATGCTCATACCATGCTTCAAGCAACAAGCAACATCCACTTTTCCATGCCTTGGATTGACCCATCCAGACCATGATGAAGAGCTTGTACGTGCAGCAGGCATACTTAGTTTAGAAACATTAGAAACGGGAAAGATTAAAAATTTTTCTTTCCCCTTGCATCTCTTTGCAAATATTTGAAGATCTTGGAGGGTTTCGTGGCAGCAGAGGGAAATGGCTGTGCAGGATGCACACTGCTATGTGCACTGCGCTAAAGAGCACTGCAGTTATCCTTTGCACTGCCAAACAGGATCATGACTCTTGGGGTTTCTGAAGAGCTGAGGAAATTTTGGTATCCTTTCTCTAGACTGTTGCCCTGACCATACAAACCATGAATATTCATGGGGTTGTTAATCTTTATCTACAAGTTACCTGGAAACAAAGTCAATACTGTATGGAGAGTGTGGTCCAGATATATTACTAATGGAGCAGATGAAAAGGTTTTGAGGAAAAAAATTAAAAAAAAAAAAAAAAAAGGAACTCCAGGCTTCTACACAATCACTGTAACTTTCTTTGCTCCTGACAGGTGAGACTTTGTTTTCCTGGCTCTTGGGAAATCAGTGGAGATGCATTAGCAGAGGTAGATGGAATAGTAATTCTGGGGTGATGTAGGGCATGTTGATCAGGACTCCGTCCTCTACATCTGAGATTTCAGCCTTCAAATCCAAACTGACGTGGCAATCAGAAATCTGGAGGTGCTCAGGCTGTGAACAGTAGTTACAAGAAAGATGGAAACAATCAAAAATTCTTCCTTCATTCTTGGTCTCCAGACTGGATTTGACTTTCAGAGATGCTGAAAAAATCCGTTTCTCATTGTCTTTAAGTGATGCTGTAGTACTCAAGACACCTGAGATCTAGAAGCCCCAAGGCAAAGCACCATCAGCTGTATCAGACTGCATTTCTTCCCTGCAAGTAAATCCTTCTGCAAGTCTTGCATTCCCAGGGATGCATTTGTTTACCCTGTCTGAGCAAACACCTTGCATCTTGAAAGTCCACTCTGTTTCCTTTGAGCTAATATTCACCATACGTCATTCGCAATGAATGCTTGCTGTACTTTAATTTTGTTTTGTGATCTGCCACGTGGCTTTCAGGCTGCATGATTGTAACCCATTTAAGAAAGGAGATTAGCAAAGAATAAACTTCCAGTCAAAGCTTTCAGACTGTCAGTTGTGAGAGAAGTCTCTGAACTGCTGGGTGTATTTTTACCAGTGCCCAGAAGACATTTGATTGCTCTGACCTACTAAAAATTGCCCTGTGAACTCACACAGTGGAAATTCTTCATAAATACTCCGTTTTCAGGAAGGGCTGGGGGAGGGTTGGTTTGTTGCTTGGTAGGCAGTCTGTACTATATTTTAACGTCCTGAAGATATTTCACTATTTATTTAATCTCCAAATCCATCAACAAATGTTTTAGTTTACTGACTACGTCTGTGCAGTGTCAAAAAAACATTTGGCAGAGCAGGACCCACATCTTCAGTAAAAGTGTGTTTATGTGACTTTCTGCTTTAAACCCCACAAACCCGCTCCCACCAAATCCCAGGCAGAGCTGGGATGCAAAGCAGTCCCTGAAGGACTTGCAATACCAAACCTCACATCCTTTAATTCCTTACACACTGCAAATAGCAGTACTGTGCATTTTTTATACAGTGCATTTTTATCATAGAATGGCTTAGATTGGAAGGGACCTCAAAGATCATCCAGCTTCAACCACTTTGCAAAGGCAGTTAAGTAACATTGTGTCCATTATACTGCTGTAGAATCTGAAAGATGGCCA